TATGTCTTGATGCATTGTATTAGAAATTCTAATTATGCTAAATTGTTATATTTAGTTGTTTTTTGTACTTTAGATTTCAAGTTGATAACTTTGAGAATCTATGTCTTGATGCATTGTATTAGAAATTCTAATTATGTTAAATGGTTATATTTAGTTGTTTTTGCACTTTAGATTTCAAGTTGATAACTCAGAGAATCTATGTCCTGTTACTTTGTATAGTATGCTTCTATATTGTTTGAATTGCATGAATGATGTGAATTATGCTAGAAATGTTCTAAGGTAACTTAAGATGCTCCCTGAGTCTCACTTTTAACATAGACGTTAGGTAGCATGTCCCTTTTGGATTGTTTCATGTTAATGTAAAAATCTATAAAAAGTTGAGTCTATGCATACTCATTCCTTACGAGTAAACTTGTTTACTCACCCCAAAGTTACCGGGTGATTTGTCAGGTATGGATGCCTTGGTTTGGGATGCACAATATCCCTGGATCGCTTCGATGAATTGAAGTTCCTTGAGTGTATTCATGTTCATGACTCTTGTAAATGTTGGCTTGAAATGCCACTTGTAGTCTTATTTGTCAAGATGTATATATTTTATTCTAAACATGTAATGTGTGTATGAGCACACCTTTTAGAATGTATTTGACATGTATGAGATGAGGTCGGAGGACAATGACATGTGTTTTATACCCTATGTAACTTTTGAACTCAAGAAATATTATGAAAATATTGAAAATTGCCAAGTTATTGCTTCACCATGTTTGCATCGGATGTGGGAATTCCATTTTCATTCTTTCATAGGGTCTCATTAATCATGTATGAAGTATGACCAAGGGCCAAACGGTCATTTGACTTCATTTTATAATTTTGGTTTTTAAAATTTTCATTTCAAGTTCATCTTCGCCTTTTTGGCTGTCGGGGGGTCAAATTTTGCATCGGTCGTTTTCGGGAGCCGCAGACCATTCCCCGCACTCAAAATCACTTATTACATTTGCGTGCATATTCGTTTCAACTTAGAAAGGCATTTAGGGTCAAATGCATACTTGGTGCAAAGTTGCATTTTCACCGTTTTGAGCCTAATTTGATCTAGGGGCATTCTAGACATTTCAAAGTGAGTTTTTTTTGTTTCCGTCTGCGTTGTCAAGTAGAAAACAAGATTTTGGGAGGGGGTTCTTCTTTGTGTTTTTCTTAAAAAGGCCCAAAAAGTCCTCAAAATCACATTTCAAACTCAAAAAGCTGTTAAGCTTGTCTGCAAGATGAACGCTCGTCCATGGGGGACGAGCGCTCGTAGATAGGGCAGTAGGAGTTGCCCTGGGCGTGCTCTATATGAGCGCTCGTCGCCCTTGTACGAGCGCTTGACCATCCTTTTTCAGCACTGCACCTCCGACTTCAAATCATCATATCTCCTTCGTTTTAACTCTGAATTGGTCCGTTCTTGAGTCTAAATTGACTGAGTCGAAATAAGCTTTCCAATGGTACCAATTACAGCTTCGGATTCCATTTGTACCTCAAGATATTCAAGTTTTAGTGAAGTGGTGTTTGGATTTGGTTCGAACCGGGATTAGGTTTCTCTTCCTTCGACTTCAAGACTTGATATCTTTGCCGTCCAGACTCCAAATCAAGTGATTCTTGAGTCCATCTTTGTTAATTTTCTTTGTCTTTCCAATGGTATGCACGGTGGCATCCATTTCAATTTGAAATGACCATTTTACCTTTGGTTCATTTCTCATTAGGTTTGACATTCTTACTTCATTGCTTGACTCATTTGAGTTCCATGGCTTCATGAGGAGCCATTTTGGTGCCTTGGGGATGACGTACATCTCTAAAGGTTATTTTAGACATTTCGATTCCGCATTTTGGATCCGTCATCGGGTTACCTTTCGGTTATCGCTGACGCACCGGGTTTATAAAACTTGGGCCGTCACAAATATCTTTTAAAGATATTTTATTTCGAAGGTTTTTAAGAAAGTATCTTTTGAAGGATATTCTCTTTTTGGGTCATTTGTGCAGTTATCCTTTTTTTGTATGGGCCATTGTGCAATTAATGAAAGTTAATGCCAAGTGTCCTGTTTTGAGCCTGGATCCTCGAATGAGATTCATTTTCACTTTTTATCGAGTCACGTACTCTTAGAATTGCCTTCCGGTCATTTTTCCCAGTTTTAGGATTTTTGACTCCGATTGCCGCCGAACTTGATAGGGGCATATCTTTCTGCTCGAGACTCGATTTTCGACGCTGTTTCTACCGTTGTTCATTTTTTTTTTTTCATTTCGGTTCTTTTTCATTCACGGTGCTTTTCCGTTTGAGCCCGTCTGGACAAATTTCACTTTTCGAGGCCGCGCGAGACCTGTTCGGGGCACTTTTTGAGAATTTTATAAATAGGGGGTAGGAGAGAGAAAACATCAGATTTTTCTTCCTCTCTCATGGCTGCCGGCCATTTTAGCTCCCTTTGGGCTGCTACCTTCTCTCTTCCTTTTGGACTCTTCCCCTTTGATTTTTCCCTCGCCAATGAAGGCTTTATCATCGGCCTTAATAAGGCCTTCATTTCCTTTCTTTTAGAATCCGATTTTGACCATTTTTGAGTTCGGGTTCGGATTTTGGTGTTGCCGCAAGAGGGTTTGTTGTTCTTAAAGAGTGCTCAAATGCGATGCATTTTAGTTCCTAAATTAGGGTATTTTAGTCCACATCTATCTTACTTTCCCGTTTTAGTTTTAATTTGTGTTTTTGTCTATTTCAGGTTAATAAGGTTCAAACAGGCTAAAAAGAAGCTTGTATTTACATGAAATTGAACCAATTGTATAGGGTTCCAAGAAGTTATTCCAATTCTAGATATACAATTAGGTAAATTTTCTCTCTCTAGATTAGGGTTTTTGGAGACCAAAGCAAGATGAAGAATATGGTGCCTACATTGAAGAAAGCCCTTGAGGGTTGGATGACAACAACCATGAGTGGCTAAATCCTTCTCTTGGGGCTAGAGATAGCCCCTAGGCTTGCCTCCTAAACTTTAGTACTTTGTAATTTTTAGGGATTTTAGTTGTAATTGATGTTTTGACCTATGATTATATAGATCTTATGTTTTTACATGATTTGTATGGATTAATTCTTCCAATTGATCTTTTATTTTTATTCATATGTCTATGTATGCTTGAATGAATGGTCATGTGTTTACACTAGATTGTATGAGGTTAATGCATATCTATGTGTGTTAGAATTGTAGATCTAGTGATGGTCAAGACATAGTACTTAATTGACTACTCTTGTGGTTTGTTTGATAGATAATGCTTATTTGTTGATGGATTGTACTACCTCCTTAGTTTAATTAATTTAATTTCCTTGTCATTAGTATAATTGTAGTGTAGTTGCTTCAAATTCCTAGATAGGTAGACAATCCATTCTTGTTGTTTGATAATCCATGCTTATGAGTGCAAGTAGTACATTTCTCTAGATCTTAGTGTGTGCATTAATTGTGGGTTTATTGAATGGTTAATGGTTTAATTTGATAGATTGTGTTATTCACTAGATTGATTAGACAATATATGCTTATTTTGCCATCCATGCTTAGTATTTCAAATAATGACACACACTTGATTTATAATATGAAATCCCCCTAAATTGGCAAATGTTAAATGTTTAGTAAGGTGAAGCTTAGTGGTAAACTCTATGCCCCAAGACTTCTCTCTCATTCTCTATACCTTAATCTTTGGATTGTCTTTAATTTGCATATTTTTAATTGAATCATTAGCTTAATTCAACCAACCAAATCTCTCTTTGGTCATTCGACCTACTAACCCAAATTTGATTCCGTAGTACCTTGCAAATCCCTTTCGATGATCCCTACTCACTCTTGCTACGTTAGTAGTAGTAGTGGTAGTGGTTTTCATAAATTTAAATTTGACCAAAAAGGCTTATAACTTGAACCACAAATCACACATTTTGGCAAAGCATAGCGGCAAGCGCTCCGTCAAATTTTGGCATCGTTGCCGGGGATTAGCAGCGCCATATTAGGAATTGAATAGGAATTAATACTCTTTTGATCCTTGCTCATAATTTCAACAAGTCCTACAACTATAAACTCCAAGAAACTGGAGTATTATAAACCAAATCCAATATAAGAGGCCAATATTTCCCAACCTTGATAGCAAAAGGACACTCATAGAATAATCAATAGTCTCCAACCCACCCTTTACAAATAACATCAACATTACCAAGTGGCCTAACGGTACTATGCTCATACTTCCCAAAAGGAGGTCAGGGCTCGAACCTCAGTGGAGGCATTCACGTGCTAGTACCAACTAAGAGAGACAAATAAATAAATAAAATAAAATATTCAACATTAATTAATCTTTTCTTTAAATTCACTAAAGTTGGGAAGTTTTGCAGAGGAAGACTGCAACATAAATAGTGATGAATTTTTCCTCTAGATTTAATCTTCTACAAAGCTTTCCAAATATTGGGTTCGAGTGCAGTATTGGATGGATTGTTCTAGTGCAAGCTGGGATTTGCCAAGAAAAGATAATAAAAAATCAATGACTAGAGCTTAATTTTCCCTAATATACTTTTACAAAAGTCAAACACCAAAAAATATTTTCAACGCCTTTACCAACAAAAAATTTAATTGAAAAATATTTTACAAGAAAAATATTTTACGTCAAAACAAACAGAGCTTTAATGCAAGTTTTTCAGAAATTTGAAAAGAAATTTTTTTTTAAATGTCTCAGAGGAATCGTTCCATTAAGATTTTCATTTTGCTGTTGTTGCAGTGAAAATAAAGAACTGAAAAGAAAATTTGATTCTTATGTTTATGTCTCAAATCAATTTCCAGAGTGGTTCAAATCCCCAAACAAACATGTGGGGTGTCAATTTCTTGTTTGGATAAAAATTATATAAATAAACAAATAAATTTTATTCTTACATTTATGTCCCTAAATTCAGTTTAGTCTTTGTTAGCAAGTAATACTGCGGTGTTTTAACACATGCGTATTGAATACTAGGTATCACCAAGTCACACAAAAGCACCAGAATAATTAGAAAGTCCAAATAATTTGAATTCGATATATCCTACAAGAAGCACCACAAACTATATTTTATTCACAAGACCTCCAAACTAACTTAAAATTCAAACATATAAAATAAGTTGAATACTCATGAGATAGTTCGTGCCTAATCAGCAAATGCCAGTTTTTGCTCCAATCTGAACTTCATACTTCGATCACTTCAAATGACGTTAGATTTTTTCTCAAAACTTGGTCAACCCATTCGTTAATTTTTGGACATATCAAGTTCACATTTCGGACTGCTCAAAAGGGACACGAACAAAGAGTCGGCCATGCAGGCTAACGACCGCAGACGTCTGAAGCGGATCAATTCTGGCTGGTAGGCTCACTACCTGAAAACCACATTATGTATTAATCCAAATAAATTTTACACTTTTCACACAATACATCTATATTATACACACTGCACACACACGAGTTAAATTTCATTACAAACATTGAATTAGTAACATTTTTGCAGAAAACCCCTTGAACTAATCAAAATTCCCCTTGCCATCGGGAAACGTTGTCCCAAACACATGACATACGATTTCTCCCTATCACCCAACTAAAAAGAGAACTAATAATAACATAGTAAAAATATAAAAATAAGAAAAATGAGAGAATTATGTAAAGACTTGAATGAGATGAATCACTAATTCATAATTCTAGTATTGATAAATAAAAAGAGCACATGCTCATATTACAAGAAAGGAAATTAAATCAAACCTAAATTAATTCATAGCATATTCGTGGCTACCAAATCTCTCTGCTAATATGACAAGTCATTCTATAAATCGTAGTTATCATATCTGCTAACACTCTCACAAAGTGCAAATCTGACTAGCGATGATTCTCTCTAATGAGGTTCAGATCAACAAATCAAAAATGTCTCCTCAGACCGTAAACAACCAACAATGTCTCCTCAGACCCTTTCCCTTTACAACAATGTTTAAAACATGTAGATGGAAGAATTAACAATATCTCCTCAGACCATTCCCCTTTATACATATGTTTAAACAATGTAGATGAAAGAATCAACAATGCCTACTCTAACCATAAAAAAGAAACAACCGTCTCCTCAGACCATAAAAGACAATAACTATGTCTCCTGATACCATAAAAAAGAAACAATTATGTCTCCTCGGACCGTTTCTGAAAAAGTGTTGCCAAACTCGCAATGTCCTCATTGAGTCGGACCACCCTGCCAACCCGACACCTCCCAAAGTCGCCTTTAGACCATTCCCGAATGGGTGACACCGAACTCGCAATGCCCTCATTGCAGTCGGACCAACCTGACTCTGATACTAAGTAAAAATATAAAAAGAAGAAAAATGGGATAATTGTGTAAAGACTTGAATGAGATACATCACTCATTCACAATTCTAGTATTTATAGATAAAAAGAGCACATGCTCATATTACAAGAAAGGAAATTAAATCAAATCTAAATCAAATCACATCATATTCTATGCCATGATTCGTCGCTATCAAATCTATGCTAATATGGTAAGTCATTCTATAAATCGTGGTTATTATATCTGCTAACAAACATATTTCAAGGCCCCAATGGAAGATTCCTCCCTTTCAAAAGACTTTCTATTCCGCTTCATCCAAATGCACCACCAAACGCAAAAAGGGGTCGGCCTCCAAAGGTCAGGTGTGGGCCCCAATCCTACAACCTCTCCACGCATCAAACAACTCCCTCGTAAACCGAGGCATAACCCATTGAGCGCTGAACAAACCAAAAATAAGGCTCCAACAATCGTGAGCCATGGGGCAATGCAAAAGAAGGTGATCCACGAACTCTCCATCCTTTTTACACAAACAACACCAATTGCCTGTAATCTATTTTCTCTTTCTTAGATTGTCAATGGTCAAAATTTTGCCCCACATTGCCATCCACACAAAAAATGCCTCTCTGAAAGGAACCTTAAATCGCCACACTATCTTCTATAGGAAGATAGAACCATGAACCCCAAAAAGACGGAGGAACAAGAAACGGACCTTGAACCTCCCCTGAGGAGAAGGCACCCAAAATAAGGAATCAAAGCCTCTACCATCCACCTTCTGTCTATACAAAAGATCTAGCAGGCCAGAAACATCGTCCAACTCGTACTCCTAAAGAGCTCGTTGCACGAACAGCTACCGTTATTAAGCCAATAACAGTCGACCACCATGGCATGTCTATCTACGGCAATCCTAAAAAGTCTGGGAAACAAACAAGGCAGCAGGCGATCCCCGCGCCATAAATCCTCCCGAAATCAAACATCCCTGCCCTCCCGAACTCTGAATCTAATGTGTTTAGAAAACTCACCCCAGCCATTCCGAATAGACTTCCACACTCCAACACCAGCAGCAGATCTAATTGGACCAGAGGACTACCCCCTGTCTCCTCCCCAAAGCGGCACAAGATCACTCTCCTCCAAAGACAATGTCGTTCGCTACTGAATCTCCACAACCACTTCCCAAGGAGAGCCTTATTGAAAGGGATGAGCCTCCTAATGCCAAGACCACTCAACTAAAGAGGCGTGCAGACTTGCTCCCAACGAATAAGATGATACTTCAACTCCTACCCCTGCCCACCCCACATCCGTTGAAGAGTCTCAATCCTTCCAACAACAGAGGTTGGAATCTGGAATATTGAAAGAAAGTAAGTTGGAAGGCTCGACAACATATTCTTCATGAGAATAACCTTCCCGCCCTTCAACAGATACTACTTCTTCCACCCAGCTAATCTTCTCTCAAGCCGTTCAATCATCGAATCCCAACCTCCCACCCTCCTCGACGAAGCGCCTAAAGGCAAACACAGATAAGAAACAGGGAAGGTCGTCCCACACCCAAGTACCACAACAAGATAAGCAACATCCTGAACCTCTCCCACAGGAACGAGCACTCTCTTACCCATATTGGCTTTCAAACCTAAGACTGCCTGAAAGCAAACCAAAACACACCTCAGATAGGACACGGACAATCCACATCACAAAAGACTAGTCCATCTTCAGCAAACAACAAATGGGTAATCTCCATATGCTGGGAGAGTCTGAACCCACCTTGAAACCCCAAATAAATCCCAGTGCCTCTGCCCTCCTCATCAACCTACTAAGGGCCTCCATAACAATAAATCCCCGTCTCAAGCCTCAAGAGCTTCCAAAAAAATCGGAGGGAAAACCATTCACCAACGCAGAAAATCTAACAGAGGATATATAAGCCTCAATCCATCTCCTCCACTTCTCACCAAAGCCCAACTTCACCAACAGATACAACAGGAACCTCCAATTAACATGATCATAAGCTTTGTCAATATCCAACTTATACGGAACTCCAGGAACACCACTAATCAACCTGGAATCCACACATTCGCTGGCCATAAGAGCGAAGTCAATAATTTGCCTGCCAACAACAAAAGCATTCTGGGACTCTGATATGATACCATCAAAACTTCCCTCAATCTCAATGCAAGGACTTTAGTAATAAGCTTATAAATACACCCGAGTAAACTAACTGCTCTAAAATCCTTGACATTGGAAGCTCCACCCTTCTTAAAAATAAGGGCAATGAAAGATGCACTCAGCGACTGTTCAAACCTCCCATTAAAATGAAACTCATGGAAAGTGCTCATCACGTCATTTCATCCCAGCTTTCCTACAAGAACCTCGTAGTAAAACCATCCGGACCCGAAGCTTTGTCTCCATTACAGATCTTCAACGCCTTCAACACTTCCTCCTCAGAAAAAGGAATCTCGAGCCCATCCCTGTCCAATGCTGAAATAGAGCTAAAATGTCAACCATTAAGGCGAGGTCTCGAACTTGAAGGCTCCGAGTAGAGCCTATGATAAAATGAAACAATCCCCCTACACAACTCCGACCCGTCCACTCAGATCCTCCCGATGTAGTTACCCCTCCTGTGTGCATTAGCAAGCCTATGAAAGAACTTCATATTGCGGTCTCCCTCTTTAAGGCACAAAACCCGAGATTTCTATCGCCACAAAATCTCCTCCAAAACAACGATCTCTGCAATTTCCACCTGATAAATTGCTCTCCTAACCTGTTGAGTCTCCAAAATACCACCCACCCCTTCCAACTAGTCAATCTCAGCGATATCAGCAAGAGCCCTATTATTCCTCCATTCAGGGTTCCCAAACAACTTATTCCATTTTTTTAGTTCCACCTTTAGGAGGCAAAGCTTCCTACCAAAACACAACTCGAAGTACCCACCACCGTGGCCTCCCACCAAAGCCGAACATTCCCTTGAAAATCTTCAGCTCTGAGCCACATATTCTTGAATCTGAAAGGAGTGCTACGAGATCTCAAACCCCCACAATCCAAGACCAACGAAATATGATCAGAAGTCACCGTAGCCAAAGCCGACTAAACAACATCCAGAAATTTCTCCTCCTAATCCCCAAAGATCACAAATACATCCAGTAGGCTGGACCAAGCAAAGGCAACACCCTCCAATGGTAAGTCAAAAAGATGATGTCCATCGATGAACTCATAAAACTGCATCATAGCCAATAATGACCATCTACCAGCTGTAAATCTCTCAAATGGGGACCTAACCACATTAAATCCCCTCCCGCGCACCAAAGAAGAGACCACAACCCCATCACATCACTGAGCTCCTCCCACAACACAATTCTCTCCCCATCATCCACCGAACCATAAACCCCAAAGAAGGCCCAGTAAAGCCGTCCTCCTCCAACACGAATGCACATGAAATAGAGAACATCCCTCTCTAGGTGTCCACCCTTGACAGCCACCTCCTATCCCACATAACGAGAATACCTGCGGAAGACCTTGAAGCGTTCAACGCCTCCCACTCGACAAACTTGCTCCCCCAAAGGCTCCTAACCACCCTATCCGACATGGAACCAACCTTCATTTCTTGGATGCAAACCACATGAGCTCCCCAATTTCTCACTACTGCCAACTTCACAACCTTCCTCTTATTTGGATCATTTTGACCACGGACATTCTAATAAATGAGTCATAGCTTCATGAGGAAACAATATCAAGCTCCTCCCCTTTACCCAACTCTCTCAACCCCAACCCCATTGCCGCCGCCCACCCCCCACCCCCCCCCCCCCCCCCCTTCCCTTCCCTTCCCTTCTGTCTCTCACCACCCCATCCTTCCCTTCATAATGAACATAAGATGGAAGATTTCTCACCTCCCTCTCCCCTTTCCAAAGAGGGGTGTTCCTCTTCCTTCTGCCCTCCCTTCCAAACTTATTTTTCATCACCCCTTCTTTTCCCTCCACTGTTGCATGGAGAATCGACAGGGCCTGTTCATTGTTACCATCAAAGGAAACACCCAACAATTCACCAGTGACGCCAATATTCTCCTTAACCCAC